TAACTGGTTATCTAAAATGTCTGGGTAGGGTAGGGTTTAGGGCCGGCATAAAATCCTGTGGTGATCGTTTTAGGCTAATTAGCTGTCTCATCTGGTTATTCTAATATACTATACAGACACTGCCACACTCTACTACATGTTATCATTATCTAAATATGTCAAGATGTAATGACCTTTGGTGAGTACCTAGGTAAAAATAATAATGAAAAAGAGAAAATCTAATACTTTCAAAAGCTCAAAGATTTTTGTTTCTGCTGCTGCTGCTGCTTGGTTTTGGTTTTAATTTATTTCTCACTATATGGCCCAGACTGGCCTCAAATTAGAAATCCTCAAATTTCCGTTTCCTGAATGGTGAGGTTACAGATGTGTGCCATCACATGCAGCTTAAAACCTAGGTTTAAACATAAAATCTAGAGATGACTTGAAACTATAGCATGTTAAACCTTATTAGACTAAAGGAAGAATTCTTTATAGGGAAGCATCTGAGACTAATCCAAATGACCATGGAGAGATAGGCAAGGTTTCCTGGCGACATCTGAGAATAGAACTGATTTCACATTTCTATGATGTCTGAGCTAATTTCCCCCCAGGGACAGGAAAGACAATGATTTGAATCATCTTTAGCCCTATCTGTTTAGTGCTTTGTTCCTTCTATTGTAAAATTAGTTCCATGGTTACAAATGGCAATGTCACAGATGATTAGTCATAACGATTCCAAGCTAAACTCAGAGTTTTCATCCCCTTGGCTAGATTTAGAAATATGTGGAGAATGTGGTAGATTGTCATATTAACACCGTCACACGTGAATACAATATGCTTCCTTGAGTGCTAAGGAAGAGGAGGCAGAATGTGCAGAAGAGGACTGTCTCACTCCCGTAGATTTGTCCAGTGAAAATATATCTACTTAGTGAAAACCCAGAAAGATTAAGTGCCATATTATTTAAAGCTCCCCAACTCACTTATTTTAGAGGTGGGAAAGAAGACCAAGGGTGGAAAAAGCTTTGCCAATCAGCAACAAAAATATGACTTAAGCTTTGGACTCTCAATTCTAACTCTGGTGTTTTTCCTGAAAATATTTTGGTACTTACAGGTTTTGGTTCATAGCTATTACTATCTAGAGCAAGAGTATCATCCATGGTCCAGGTAAATATAGATTTCTCAAATTCTCTTTGGTATCTATTGTTGAGGAGTAGAGCAAAGAGATAGTTTCTAACGTCTTCAACAAAAGCTGTAACTAGGTTGGCTGCACTGGACAGTTTCTTAAAGCAGAATCACAGTGTTCCTCCTTTTGTTCAGATTAGCATAACCATTGTTGGATCTTGTGTTTTGAAGACATGATGTTTGAGAGTTGGGAAAAATAGGGCATACTTCTAAGACTAAAGGATTTCCATGGGGTTTGAGACTAGAAACACTATGAAAAGAAATTTAACTAGGAATGATCTGTTGAATCAGACAATAACAATAATGTTTGCCCTCTTAGAAGACCAAATGATATGACAAAATGACAATAGTTTATTGTCATACTAGCTTAAGTATGCAGAAGTGAGCAATTATATACATATATATCTATATATATGTATATATATAATTTTATTGTTTTGCAATACTTTTTGAGAATCTACTCCGTGTCAGGCACTGGGTTATTGATTTGACATCAGTAATCAACAAATGAGATTCCCTTCCATGTACGGAATTTACAATTTAATAAGATAGATGAGCTACAAGTAAATGAATACAGAAATGTGCAATTTTGCAATAGTCAAAAGTATAATGATAAAAAATAAAACAGGAAAAAGAAGCAATACAAGCTTAAAATTTTAAATAGAATATTTAACATAAAAACTTGAAGCACCTTATTGGAGGAAGATTTCTCTAGGCAGGGCGACAAATAGTTCAAGATCTCTGTTTGAGAGCATGTCTGGCACATTAGATGAATAGTAACGAGCCAGTAGGGGTGGCTTAGTAAGAACACAGGAAAAGGAACAAAAGATGAAGTCAAAACAGTGAGGAAGCTGACCCTACATGACATTGTAAGTAATAAGTTTCAATTTTTACTTGAATAGAAATTATGAGCCATTGGAAAGCTTTAAACAAAGGGGAAAAAATACCTTAGGTCATGATAGCCTGTCCTAGTTAGCAAGTGCTGAACAGACTCTACTTCATTTATTTAAGATAGCATCACAAATAATCTAGCTTTCATTTTGAAGTACCACTTCTCAGAGTTTTAAATCTATTGCAATCAAGTGGGTGAATTACTAAATAAAATACATCATCTTATTCAGTAAATCTGAGACAGAGCCAAAGATTTTGCATGGCTAACAAGGTCTCGGGTGATGCAGATGTTGCTGGCTACCGTACAAATCTTTGAGATGAAAATGAGAGCTATGGATAGATAAGTGAACAGAAAAAAGGAACTTTGAAGGGAGAACTAAAACTATACTTTCTAAAATATCTGGATCATATTTAATTAGAGTAATACATTTATGATCTTAGGGATGTAGCTCACTGGTAGCGCACTTGCCTAACATGTACAAGGGCCCAAGGTTAAAGCCCGGGACAATGCACATGTAAACAACCACAGTGCATTTACTTGATTCCATCAACAACTTTAAGAAGTAACTATAGAACATGAAGTAGGATCAAAACCCCGTGCCATTGTCCTTGGCTTCTCATCAGCCCTGATTGTTCGCCATGTTCAGAGAGTCCGGTTTTATCTCATGCTTTTTCAGTCATAGTCCAGCTGGCCTTGGTGAGCTCCCAATAGATCAGTCCCACTGTCTCAGTGGGTGAGTGCATCCCTCATGGTCCTGACTTCCTTGCTCATCTTCTCCCTCCTTCCGCTCCTCATTGGGACCTTGGGAGCTCAGTCCAGTGCTCCAGTGTGGGCCTCTGTCTCTATCTCCATCCATCACCAGATGAAGTTTCTATGGTAATATACAAGATATTCGTCAGTATTGCTATAGGATAGGGTTGTTTCAGGTTCCGTATCCTCATCTGCCCAAGGAACTTTTTGATCCTACTTCATGTTCTGGCTTTGTGTGAGCCTAGCCAGTTTGGATGTTCACCTTCCTAGACATGGACGGAGGGGGGAGGACCTTGGACTTTCCACAGGGCAGGGAACCCTGACTGCTCTTTGGACTGGAGAGGGAGGGGGAGAGGAGTGGGGGGTGGGGGAGAAGGGTGGGAGGAGGGGGAGGGAAATGGGAGGCTGGGAGGAGGGGGAAACTTTTTTCCTTTTCTCAAAAAAAAAAGAAGTAACTATATAATGAAGCCCAGAAGACAAATGAGAAAATTAATCCCAGAGTATGTGTATGTTTGGGATGGGGTTACCTTTAAGCCTACAGGGTTAATTTGTGACTAAGTCGAGATATAACAGCCAGAACATTATGTTTCTAGAACCCTTGTTCTTTCTACCCTATGTTATTGCTTCATGACATGAAGAGGATTTTTAAAAATTTTTAATTTAAACGGTTTTTTTTATTTTATATACCAACCAGAGTTCTCCCTCCCTCCTCTCCTCTCATTTTTCCCTACCTTCCCACACCCAACCCCCACCCACTCAATAGGATAATTTTAATACATTTAATTGAGAAAAGAAAATGAGCTGAGGTGAAATACTGCCAAATCATCTTCCCATAACTGTACTTTCCAATGTGATTTCAAATAGTAGTGTTATTATTTAAATTTAAATTAATTCTATTTCAATAAAAAATTAGGTTTTCCTTCTCATTAACACCAGTCATGTTTCAAAAGCTTGGCCGGCTAGCAGATGTCTACTGGAGAGAGGAGATAAAACATTTTTCATCACTGCAGAACATTCTGTTAGCTAGCTCCGCTCTAGGGAAACAAGGACTTTGAAAATGTTACAACTATACCCTGGACTGGAAAGTAGGCCCCAGGCGAAGAAAAGAAAATGGGTTCTGATTTCTCTTGTGAGGGAAGGAAACAAGATGAGTCAATGAGGAGTTTTCGGAAGGTCAAAAGCAAGCTGGCTAGTTTTGTTCTCGGTGTGTGTGTTTAAACCTTTTAAAACAGGGCTCGAGAAACAGCTCTGTGGACAACAGTCACCTGTAACTCCAGGTCCAGGGAGCCAAAGGCCTCCTTGAGTATCAAGCACACATGTGGTGCACAAACATACATGCAGGCAAAACATCTAAACACATAAAATAAAAACTTTGAAAAATATTTTGAAAACATTCTTTTCTCCACTTTCCATTGATTTTCGCTTTCTGCTTAGTAATAAACCCTTGGGAAATGTTAACTGGCCTCCTTAAGCTAAAGAGAATATGGGGCGGATGGGGAACAGGAGACTCCCATCATCTAGAGAGCTAGAATGCATGGAGTTAGGGGATATAGTGACACAAACTGTTGTTCTAGCCTTCACCTCCTGGTGATTCCTTTCATAAGTATTTATTTGTTCAAATTAACCACAATGTTCTCCACGTGGGGAAGCAGACAGGCACATTAGGATCATCAACGATGCTCTTGGAACTTAAGTAGGTGCGTGTCTTACCGAACCCCTGGATAATTCATGACTTAGGTGGCAGGAGTGAAAACCTTACATCTGCATCCGAAATTTAAAAAAAAAAATTCTAGGATCTTTTCTATACATTCAAGTCTCTTAATCTCTTGCTTAAATTTGCTTTAATTAATGAGGAAGGTTAGGCCTGTCCTGGATTAGAAGCCAAGAGGTTAAGAGTACAGATTCAGGGAAGGAAAGGACAGAGACAAAGACAAGGTAGACAGGGAGGTAGAGGGCAGAGGGACATTAAGTATATATTAATGGATTAATGACAAAGAAGAATCAAAGAGAGGAGAGAAAAAGAAATTGAAAACCCAAAGGATGCAATTTCATCCCACTGAAAACTGTCTGGGTGGTCAGTGCAGCTAATTTGTCCAACATTTTGGGACTACCACAAAGAGGTCCATGCTGATTGTCAGCTCTTCCTAGAAGAAGAATATCCCACCACCTATGCCCCCCCATGCACCACCATGGCTACCTCACAAATGTCCTTGAGGTGCTTGATGTAATGACGCTCGGTGCTCATGATCTCATTGATGACGTTGGCCCGCATCTGGTCGCGGTTCTGTAGTGGCCGGCCCAGACAAAGGCAGTCTGAATTGGGGTCCAGGTGCCCATTCTGCACATCACTGGGCCCTTCCTCCACCCCATCCTCCTGGTTCACCCAGAGCTGTAGAAGTAGGCAAAGAAAAAAAAAATAATAATGGGTTAACCTTCTTTGAGAAATTTTCAGCTAGAGAAAGGAAAAATGAGTAACTATATATTTACAAAGCCTTCAATCAGAAGCGTTTGAAAACAAGAGTGCCAAGACTAATTCTAGGATGTCTTGCTGGCCCTAAACTGGGCTTCAAATTAAAAAAAAAGATCTACCTAACTTATCTCTAAGTTCTGGAGATTAAAAGTTTACACACCCTGCCTGGCTCTTTCCTTTCCTTTTTTAAAAAATGTGTATAATTGATCCCTTACTATCTACCATTTAACACAATTAAAAAGTTCTATAATGAATAAATATTTTAAGGAGTAGATATGGTTTTAAAAATTTATTCCAAGACACTGGAAAATAAAATTAGTTGTATTTATAATAATGAAAACAATTATTCCCTAATATTCTGTTACTTTCTCCCATCCCAGCCTATGTCAGCATATGAGATATCTTCATTGGGTGGAATTTCATCTCTGAATGCTGTATCAAACTTGCCAAAAATTCTGGATAGACTAATGCAAACATTTTCACAAATATTGTTCATAGATGCTTCAGCATACACAGGCTCCTGGATGACAAATAAAAATATAAAAACTGCCTATACTCTGTCATATTTCTAGAGGACTTATTAAAGTACTAAATGAATGACTGAATCATTGAATAGAAGTAAATCAGGGTTAGTGACATCAAATTTATCAATTATCTGTATCAGATATATACTATGTCTAACCACTACATGACTGTAAAAGAAGCCCCGGAGAACAAGATGATGGATTTCTCATTCTTCATTAGAGTCAATGAAGTCTTTCAAAATCTAGTTCTTGTCTTCCTTTTGCATTCCCTCTGTTACTGCCTTCATCTCTCTATAATAAGACACAGTCCAAGGGAAACACCTAACACCAATCTGTCCTACATGCTACTAACAGACCAGGTCCTTGACAATAACTTTGATCAGCGAGCCTCAAACCAAAAATTATCAAAAGCCTCACACTGCTTAAGTCCAAATGCTTCATCTACTGTTCAAAATTATCACAATACGACCCCAATTGTATTTCCACTCTTATCTCCTATTCTCTTCAGAATTAATAGGCTTTTCTCAGATTTTTTCTAATACAGATTGCTATATATATATATATATATATATATACATCAAGCCTATATAGAATACAGAAATAACGTATTTAAAAACTTAAATAATGACTTAAGCACTCAATTTTCTGATAAAGAAACTGATCTTCACAGGCACTGCCAGGGAAAGCATCTTTGATATATGTATGTATGTGTATCTTCTAATGGTTTTAAATTATTTACTCAATACAAAGGAGATATATGCCTCACAAAAATGTAAAATAGAAAACAAGTAAGACTGTGGTGGTTTTAGTGAAAATGGTCCCCACAGATCCATAAGGACTGGCACTATTAGAAGGTGCGGCCTTATGGAGGAAGTTCATCACTGGGCTTTGAAGTTTCAGAAGCTCAACTAGGCCCAGTGTTCTCCCTTCTGCCTGCAGATTGAGATGTAGAACTCCCTTGCTACTTCTCCAGCATCATGCCTGCCGGCTTGCTGCCATGCTCCCCACCATAATTATAATAAACTAAAACTCCAAACTGTAAGCCAGCCCCAGTTCAATATTTTTCTTTGTAAGCGTGGCTATGGTTATAGTGTCTATTCACAGCAATTGAAATTCTAAGATAAAGACCCTGTTTAGTAGAATCAATGAAGAATGGCAATATTACAACAGACTTACAGAAAAGTCATTGAAAGGGAACACTATGAACAATTGTACACTAAAAATTCAATTAAAAATTATGCAATGGATAAGTTCTTAGAAACACACAGACTAGAACAAACCCAAGAACAAACAGTAATCTAAGTAGGGCAATAAGAAGCATGAGACTGAGTAATCAGAAGCTGCTCACACAGAAGCAGGTGACAAGGTCTGCTGGTTTAAATATTTGATTTGAAATATTTAAAGAATTATGGTTCATCTTTGGCAAAAACCCTCAAAATACAAAAATGCAGACACCTCAACAAAATGTTAGCAACATTTTTTAAACCTTCCTTATCAAATGGGATTGATCTCTGCAATACAAAAGTGGTTTAACATAAGAAAAGCAATGTAGTACAACATAATAATGAAGGTTATAAAATCCCACATGCTTATCTCAATCAGTATACTCCTTCGTGATTAAAAAGTATTTAATAAACTAGAAATAACTTCCTCCAAATGATAACGAGTATTTATGAAAGACCATACACCCAAGAAATCAAGGCTATTATCTGCTCTTATCACTGTGATTCAATATTGTACTAAGAATTCTAGCAAGAGTAACTGAACAGGAAAAAACATAAAAGGAATTTAATAGAAAATATAAAACTAATTCATATATATAAATCATGCAATCATATACATAGGAAACTCTAAAGAATCCACCCAAAAGCTGTGCTAATAAACAAATTCAGCAATATTTGTAGAATATGGGATAAATATTTTAAAATTAACTGTACTATCTAAGATTAAAATTAGGAATACTACATTTAAATAGTATGAAAAATCAAGTAATTGAGTGAATTCAACAACTTCACATTTTTTGACATCTTTAGTAGTCTTTCTCTATAAATAAATTAATAATTATAAAAGGAACTGAAATGTCTCACCAAAGATTCATACATTCCTAAAGAATCAGTTCCCAATGTAGCAGTGCTCAGAGGTGACACTGGGGAAGTGATTATATCATGAAAGTGCTGATTTCATCAATGGGTTAATCAACTAATGGACTTATAATTTGATAGACTATTGGGAGTACTGGAAACAAGAGATGTGATCTAGCTAAAGGGGGTAGTCCTTTAAGAGTGTGTCCTCAGTTTTTTCTTTCTCATTCATATTCATGCCCTCTCGCTCTCTCTTTGCTTCCATGGTATGAGATCAGCAGCCTCCTCTGGAACCTTTTCCTAGCACCATTGTGCTATGCCTCCATAGTCTTGGGCTGAAATCTCTGAAACCATGATCCAAAATGAACTTTTCTTCCCTTTAAATTTTTCTTCCTTTTTTTTTTCCTTCAGGTATTTGGTCACAATGACAGGACGCCAACTACTATGGGTAACACCATTATGCGTTCAAGGAAAGTTCTAGAGTTACTTAGAAATTTGTCTTATCTCTTAATGGAGCAATGTGATGTTTTGTAGGTGAAAGATGGAGTATTTAGAACTGTCAGCTGGAAAACAAAGAGTGCATGCTAAGAGTTTAACGGGCAGTTCTGTGGGAGGTTGGAAGACAATGCTGTGAAAAATGAAGATAATGGAGGCCTGGCTTGTGAAGTTTCAAACAGAACATTGAGAATCACATAAAGACTCGGTCAGGCTCTCTCATTTGTGGGATATAGATGAGTTAAGCATCTGCGGAAGTGAAACCTTTGCTTTAATGGGACAATGGACACTGGTGAGCTAGTAATGAAAAATCACCTGCGATTAATAAGAGACAGGCATTACTGAGGCAAAACCTACTGGGAAGTGTTCTCTCAGGGTTAGCACATAAATGTTTGGTCCAGGCAGGGCTAAGACCTTCAAGTTGACAGTAGAACTTGCTAAGTAATGTGTAAGACACTTCCACATGGTACTAGTTTTTGAAGATGTGAAGGGGACACAAAGAATTGCTGAATCACAAAACCTTGTGGCAGTGCTGGAGGATCTACAGAGACACACTGAGTGACCATCAGTGAAGGTGAAGTGTCAGTAAGTGGAAATTGTAGGACTGAAGAGACAAGCTGAGGCTTGTCAACATGTGGCGTAGTTAAAAGTCACAGTTAGCTTTACTTGTCACCTTGATATACACAGGAAGAGGGAACCTCAATTAGTAATTGTATCTATTGGACAAGCGTATGGGCATGTTTGAGGCACTTTCTGATTTCTAATTGATGTGGATGGGTTCAGCCCAGTGAAGATGGCATCATTCCTGGGAAGGCGGGCCTGAACTATATAAAAGAATGATGGCCAAGCAAGTCAGGTAGAGCAAGCCAGTAAGCAGCACCCCTCCATGGTCTCTGCTTCAGTCCTTGCCTTCATTTCCCTTTCTCCCTAGACGATAAACAGTAACTTCTAACATGAATTAAACCGGTTCCTCCCCAAGTTAGTTTTGGTCAGTGTTTATCATAGCAGCAGAGAAGTAAAGTAGGACATTGCCCCACGAATCAATATATAAACACTTAGCATTCTTGCCTAGCACAAAGACAATCAGCCAACTCCTTGGCCCTCAAGGGAAAGATAATTAGTAATTATTACTAATTAACTGAAAATCACCATAAGAAAGCTGTTAACAAATTGCTTTTCCCTTTCTACCATACATATAATTAGAAGTAATGATCTCCAATAAAACAATGAAAATGTTGGTTGCATTAGAAATGGAGGGGAGAATAAGGAAAACCTCACAGAAATGCATTCATAACTACATTACACACTAAACTAGGACTTGTCCGCAGGGTTTTACTGTACCATAGCACACCCATGATATCAACCACGTCTTTCCAACACATCCTTGGAACACAATGAAGCCAAGTGCCCTGAACTTAACTCTGGAAGTGTAAAAGCCAAAATACATCTTCCTTCGTTTCTTTCAGGTATTTTGGTCACAGCTACCCAAAACATGCAAACAAACAAAACCAATGTAACAGACCAAATAAGGTTTCCTTTTTTAAAATTTTATTTCCACTTCCTATGCAAGAGAGCCAAGGCAGTGGGTCTCTCATGGTAAACAAGCAGAATCTGAGATTGATGCACAGTCTCTAAGTACTTAGACCAAATCAGGAGAAAATCTGGCAGGGTAAAGAAAGTAGACTTGATAGCTTGGGTAGAAATATGGGCTTTCCAACACAGAGTAAGTTACCTGACTTCTCTAATCCTCAATGTCCTCATCAGTAAAACAGAATAGTATCAGTCCACTTCAGAGACTACTGCAGGAATCATATGCATC